TAGATCAATCTGTCTTGACTGCTGCAGTGATTATGATTTTCGAACACCATAAATAGAATTACAGAACAATTTTTCAAATATCTAAATCTAATATTCCTTATATCTTGAAAAGACTAACTATTGAAATTAATTAGCCACATCTAATTCCTCATTCTTTGGATTATAAGCAATCGCAGCGTTAATCGACGATTTGTATAAGATAATAGACAAAATGATGATTATTTTACAGCTTCGATTTCGTAATTTGAGTTTAAAAGTGATAATTCTTACTTGAAAACAAGTTGAAATTCACATAAACTAATCGAGATTATTTATACTACATCCGCCGCCATCAACAGATCCTTCACAGTTGTTTTTTTTCTAACTAATTAACCAAATAATATTTGTTATATATATGAGAAAAATCGAACTCCATTTTCAATTCTGATTAACTGAATACACTTTGCATAGATTTTGATTGAACAATAATAAACGATGCGATCTGACCTTTAATATTGAGAAGAAAAAAACTTGAACTCTTCTATTATATGTGAGAAAGTTCTTCTTGTCTTTTATATCAAAAATGACTTCAGAACAATAATAGAAACAAAAGATCTTCGTTCGCGTATATGATAATCAGATATGTTTCTGATAATATGAAAAAACAGGATATATCGCTTAACAACATCAAGTACAATTTCACTTGTCAAACGAATCTATTCACTATACTTGAAACAAAGGAGTGAGTCATTTGAATAGCACTTTGAAACAAAAGAAAGTAATGCCCTTCTTCTCATATTTGAGATATTCTTTAAGAGTAGAAAAAAAAAGATGAAAATAATTATCAAAAACTAAATATAAAGAAAATTTTTGGCAACAAGGTGTCACAGTGAATCAACTAAGGTTAAAATATTTGAAAAATAAATCCACAGTACTTTCATTAACATATGATGGTTTTAGTTCATCTAGCTCTTATCAAGATCAAATTACTTAACTATAAAACAAAGAGAAATCAATCTCATCTTTCTTTTTTTTGATCGAACGAATGAGTCATGAAACATTTTGTACGTTGTAAAGAAAAATATGTTACAGTTTGTAACACGTGCTGATGAACAGAAGAGTTGTAAAAGCGAAAGCACGTTTTATTCTACACTATTTTGTTGTGTAAAGAACATTTCTTGTTGATTGTATAAGAATTAACAAGTGGTAAAATAACTTTAGTATTACTGTCATATAGCTGAATACGATCATAGGTCTACAATCTTTCTGGAAAAAAACTTGTTGAAATATGCTACGCTACACTTCAGAGTTTAAACAAAGCACAAACACAGTAGTCAGTGGGCTTACAAAGAACAGATTCGTTACATGTATCTGTTTCTTGTAGTCACAAAGATGAAATTCATCCTTTTGATAAACAGAAAACTATTTTTAATTTACAAAGACGAACAGTTCTAGAGGAGCTGATGAAAAGGTCTAAAATTTGGCAAGAACCTCTGAAGAAAACCCATCCCCGATCGAGAAAGTGATTAGTCGAGTCAGTAGTTTGTAAACTGTTTAATGCACAGTGTAACGCATATGTGCGAAGAAGAGGAAATTTAGAACTAATAGAAGAAATTTTTTGATTTTGTTCATTTTTCTTTTTTCTGAAGCTAAAAAATATATATCGAAGAGAAGAAACATGAACATTTAAATTCAACAAGTTACTTGACTTCAAAACATATTGTTGTTTTTAAAAAATATGAATGACAATAACAACATGAAAATTAGTAAGTTGACCTCTTTTTATGATCAAAAAATCTAATTGAATATCCATTTACTTGACAGAAATTTTTCTCTAAATATTTTCATATTTGTTTTAACTGACAGTCACAAAAGGTAAGATGTAAAATAGATTAGGCTAATAACCTCAAATTTCACCAAAAACAAAGAGAATACAATTCTCTCTAAATCAGATTGTGTAATATATTATTTGTCAACAGAACTATAAAGGAAAAAAAATAAAAAAACATAATTGGACTTCTAAAAAGTCCAAATTCCGCAAGTTTGAACATATATATACATCTATGTAGTAGATCGACTTAAATGGTTAAAAAACATTCGCAAAAAAGTGTCAGCTGAAGAAGCATAAATCAGAAAAATTAGTAATGCAAACGCATCTGTTCAGATTTAACTGAATCTATGAAGAGGCCAAGTAATCTTAAAAGGATGACGGTTCTGGACATTGAAGCTAGAAGTACGATGATGTAATCCAAAAAGACGGACGTTAATAGAAGCGACTTTCATATCTAGCATGCCTTGATCGTTTATCAAAGAAAAATTTGAATGAAAACGCATTTACAAAAATTAAGACAAAGAAGGAGTTACCACCTAAACATAGCAAACTTTAGTTCTTACCTTAATTTGGAATCAGTTAGTTGGATAGATTCTCTAAGAGATATTCTAATCACGAGCGGATGTTCGATTCAATAGTTTAAGCCTTGCTTTTCTGTTATCTTATTGGTAAATTTTTTAATTATTCTTGCTGTTGTACTACTGGAAAGTATTTTTAGCCAGTAATTGGATTTATCCATCCACAAAGTGTAGAAAACCTTACTATAATCTCCAGTACTAGAGAGATAGTGTTTATAGGAGAAATATTGTACTATACTATTTCTTTATAAAAAGATCTTTCTAACCGCTCGGAAGTGTTATAGGCCATGTTTGATATCTTCTAACTAGCATCGCTAGTGAAGGACCCGTCGTATACTTCGTATCGACGATATACCTTTACCAGTCGAAAACGTATCTACTGTTGGACGCTGTTCTTTGCGTGCAGATACGATACTTCTGCATCATTATTTTAAAATTCAATAGAGATTCTACTTACATTAAATAAAATTATTCTAGAAGTAAGTAGGCGTTAGTTATGACTATCAAAAATTAGTCATATGACATAATCATTTTATCAGTCACCAGGGAAATTCTGCTTAATGATGCAAGAAAAGCTTCGGGATTATTCTACACAAATACACATAAATTTATTATGCTTCTTAACATTATATATTTTTAAAAAAAAAAACGAATGAGTAAGAGACCAACAACAGGGTAACATGTTTGTTTCTACCTGCAAGATGTTGAATGGATCAGTATGTTGGGAAAACGAAGATGAGATGTATAAATGACTAATCACCTTTAAATAACTATACAAATGGGTTTGGTCGGGAAATATGTATTTTCTATTCAAAAGGGCGGCAGTCTATTGATGATGTAAATAAAGTAGTTACTAATATTAATATTAACAAATGAAAAATACTTGTGTGTGACCTGTAATTGTATTTAGATAGATTGAAGGTTATTGTGCAATATTTTTAATTTACCTGAAGTGTTGTGAACAAGAAGAATATAAACATCTGACGATTTAATATAATTATTATAAACACCCACATTTAATTTAGAAGAAAAATATCGATACTCGAAAATACTTCTTTCAGCGGAAGTAAAAAGTTTATGTAACAACAACATTCAATAATTTTAACCATACCGATTAATTTTATACATTTATTTTTATCTTTGAATTTCAAACGTTATGATAAGAATCTCGAAAAAATGAAGGACAACTGCATTTTAACTTAAGCTAAATTCTGCTAAAATAGAACAATAAAATTCTTTTCTTTTTTGTTCTCTCTCTCTCTTCCTCTCTCTCTCTTTCTCTCTCTTTTTCATTTTTCCTTCTGATATACATTACATTTATTTCTACTTTAGTCTACTAACTCATCATCATCTAATTGTTTGGTTAATAAACTTAAACTGATTTAAATACAGATGTCAACTAGAAATTGATCATGATGAACAAGTAGTTTACTGATGATTAGTTTTTCCATGATAATTGACCGTATCACTTGAACTTTCGAGATTCATTCATACGACATATTGTTCATTATTGAAGATCGATACACAACTTTAACTTTTGACGTTTAATTATTTACTTAATATTAACAAAAATATATCTAATACTAGCCAAACTATGATGTCTACATCAAATTGAAAATTGTTTCACTTCATTAAAAGTAAAATGATGCATCATAAATGTAAGATATTGAAAAAAATCATAGACATTTTGAATCACGTTTTAAGTGATAATTAACGAGTAAAAATTAGTTTTATCATATAGTAGAGCAGTTGTGATAAAATTCAATGAAAATATAAAATTTTTATCACTACTATTTTCTCTTTGCCTTCACTGATTCTAGGTTGAATATAATAAGCATGAGAGATCTTTCAATGCTTTACTATGAATACATGTGTGCATATTTAACTGAGAACTTAGTTACCAAATTAGTACATTAGTATACATTTTAAAGCTGCTTATAGAAGCAACGAAAAATATATTTTAAACTTTGAACGTGATAAAAAAACTTTGAAATCAAATAGACATTATCACTATAATGTATACTATATACCGATTAATCTTATATAAAATTATGCAAGTTTCACACAAAATAGAGTAATACGATCCATATATGTATATAGATATACGTATACGATCATGGCAGAATATTTCACTTCGTCAAATGACAATAATCTTTTGTAGAGCTCAAGGAAAAGGTATGTTTCAAAAATTGTGAAAATTGTAAAGTAATGTCAGTCATTCATTAGCCATCGAAAATTTGATATGTAGTTAAATGGTAGCCGATAAGTAAGACAATTCATTTCCTGAGATACGCTAAATCACTAAATAGCGAATAATTATAAATATCTGAACGCAAAATGCATCAGAACATATATTTGCACTATAAAGATAAAAAGTTACATTTCTTAGGAAATTTAATTAGTGTTTCATCATAGATACAGTTGAAAACATCACAACAGAAATTTATTAATATAACCAAAATAAGAAAGCTAAATAGTAAGTTTTAATCCGTTTGTTATTTTTGAAATACAACATGGTAGCTGAAAAATAACAATAGCAAAAACAAAACAAAAAGACATTTTTTTTACATCACAACATTGTTACTACACACAATAAGAGAGAATTTGTTCCGTTATCTTTGTCCGCCACCGCCTCCACCTTGTTGTCCACCATTATCTGAGAAAACACCTTGTAATAATACAATAACGACTACTGGTATAATGTATTTCCCTAAAAATACAAAACGTTATTGCATAAGACAAGCGGTAGTTGTTTTTGTTTACTTACAATATTTAAGAAAAAATGGTCTATTATCATTTTGTTCAGCATTTTGTTTTGCTTCTTTTTCTCGACGCAATTTTTCAAGAAAATGTTGTGTATCAGGTCTAAAAAATAAAATAGATGTATTTCAACTAAAAATGTTTTCAGACAAGAATAAAAAAGTACAAAACCATCTTGTCTTAGAATACAAAATAGTTCATTCGGTATTAGAAGTAAATCTAAAAAATTTCAGCTCCAGTCGGAACTGTGTTAAACCTATATTTTATGTTACTTTCTTTTCTATTCTAATGTATGAAGATAGTTTGATGAGTACTTACTGAGGTCCAGTCTCAGATAACTCCATTCGTATATCGACTTTATAAGGATAATCAATTTTGTTTATTGTTGTTGTCGATAATGATGTTTTACTACATGTTGAATTGCCTGTTGTTAGATAAATACTGGTGGCGTAACCATTTTCATTAATGAACAAAGACAAACGATACTGGAATTGCGCTTGAACAACAAGGCACTAAAATAACATAATTAATTGTAGAAGAATAAAGTTTTTTTTAATTGTGACACTTACCAATGGCACAGATGTCATAACGTAATCTTGAATTGATCGACGACGATAAGTTGCTTTGAGTGTATAATAATGAGGACGATTTGATTGTACATCCTAAATTAGACTGAGAATATTTTTCGCACCAAAAGTTTTGAATAAACACTTACATGTGACAATCGTTCGTATTGGGCGGCTGAAATAACACGAGAAGGCACTAAGTCTGTTGTTGCTTGACGAGACAACCGTAGATTCACTTTTGCAAACGTTGAAAACTTCACATCTTAAACAAAAAGAACCTTCATTTTAAAGCAAATCATTTTCAGTTTTCCATGCTATACATACCAATATTATCTTCGAGTGTGAGTTGTAGCGAGTCATCTGTATCGTCAATAGTCTAAATAGAAGAAAAAAAATAAAATAAATATTATTTTCAATGCAGAAGCATATCAAAATCTTCTAGCTGATGAAATGAACAATTCGGTTCGATTCACAATACGTGCAAAGTGTTGCAGAGCATATTCGTCAAAGGGCGATAAAATGATTTCGTCTGATATATTTTTTCTAAAAACCCCACTAAATCTGGAATCTAATCATCTTCATGATAGTACAACAAACATACAACAACATTAAGAGAAACACTTACGGAAACCAATATAATATTATACAAGATAACCACAGCAATAATCAAACTTTGAATAAAAATATTTGACATGTCAAACTTAATAAACGACTATTTTATACGATTTTTGTCCAAACTACTTTTTACGAAGTTCTCTGTATAGAAGAAGTAGAGGTAATTGTTAAATCCATTACATAAAAGAACACGTCAACAAAACATAAGAAGCGAGCCTCACGATAGTTTCCGTACATGTTACGCTCGAGATAAACAAGCAGCATACGCTAGTTCTAAAAATGATGCTAGATTAACCCTTTGGGTAAAAATGTCTAAATGGCCAATCAGAAGTGAACAAAAGTTTATATATATTTCGCATTAGCTGAACTGATACCGTACTAATACACCCTCTCCTGTACATGTTTTTAAAATTTTTTAACAAAAAGAAAATTTGAGTTTTGACAGAAAACAAATATTAAGATGAAAAGTTAATCTTTTTAGAAGATTTATGATACAATGAGCGTGCACGTTGATAATATCAATTTATGCCAAGACACTCATTTTGATTGTAGTAAAATGAGTTTACGTTGATTGTATTGCATTACCACTAGATATCGTATTTAGCATGTTCTAACCTGAATAGACTATCTTGCACACAAAAAAAATGAAAATAGCTAATTAGTAGAGTATAGTCGAAAAGCTGCAGGAATGAAAGCCAATTGATCTTTGCGACGACACCTATAAGAAACATCAGAGCGGCGTTCTTTTCCTAAAATTTGATTCTAGGATATTTTATTATCAATCTCACATTGAAAATATATATTTGAGAAAATTGGATGCGAATGTATACGTATACACTGTTTAAAAAGTGTGACATGAAATTCGTGGCGCATCAACGTGAAGAAAAACATAAAATTCATGTAGAATTGGGGAAAAGTGCTTTTATGTATTCAGCGCACTCGATAACCCAGTAGATTTTATATTTCTGGCGAGGAATACTGCCAAAAGTTTAGGAAAAAGTTTCAAACAAAATGGCGAAAAAAAAATATTAGTTTCAAATAATAAATATAATAATAAATAATTCAAGTAATAAATATTTTGGAATAAATAACCTTTTGGTAGTACTCCTCGCCAAAAATAGAAAATCTTTGGGGTTAGCGAGTGTGCTGAATACAAAAAAGCACTTCCGCATAACCCTGCATGGACTTTAGTTTTCTACTGGTGATATGCAAAGTCACGGTAAAAGTGTTGTTTTCTGCAATTTCAGATCTCTCATTCTGATGACCACATCTTTGCCGTTGCATCAGGCGAAAACGTTATTCTAGATGTTCTTCCCATCAAATTTTGCTGTTCTGGTTTCGTCTCGCGTTATGAAGTTTCCCAATTCACGCAAACAAACTTCGCATGTCATAAGGATCGAAGATTTTTTTTCATTTATACTAAACTACGCTTTTAGTCCTCGAGTTCTAAAACGGCACTCTGAAACGTCGTCTCGAGGACTATGCGCGTAGCCAGGACCGCTCGAAGTTTACTTTTGTAACTAAAATGTGGTAGTAAAACAAAGTTTTATTTAGGAAATTTCCTTAGTTTTAGGAATTGTACTTGAAAGTCAAAGAAAAGTTGTTTGATTATTGCCTGTATTCATGTTTTTTCTATTGCCGCTTCTTTACAATATTAAGTAGCGAAGCCATTTCATACTGGCTACGAAAAAGTTCAAGAATTGGTATCACTAAGCGGGTATAAAAGGAATGGTTCGAGACGTACGATATGGGCTACAAAAACGAATCAGTTGTCTTTCTTTGGTCAAATGTGCTGAGAAACTGAAAATGTAAAATACTGTGTTATGTGAAGTATAAAGTAGCATTTACAACAAAAACCGTCTGCTCAAATCTACACTTGATACTGCTATTTGATGCTATACAGCCATGCAGTTTTGATCTTGTGCTTGTACTCCAGAGCTAAAAAGTAGCTTTACGGCTTTTATCACGGAAAAAACATTAATAGATCAATCATATAAAGGCATAAGAAAAATATGAAATAGTTTTATACGATACTACACGCAGAGCTAATGTGAAACAGACAAAAAGCCGCTTTTTAGTAGCTGACTTTTCACAGTAATCAGATCCCAAGATTCTTTGTATTACTGTAGTTAGGAAACAAAGCACTTTGACAAATATCTAACATATTGTGTTTGCGCAAAATGTTGCTGTATCCAGTTCAGTCCCTAGAGATCAAATCTTATATAGGATTCCTATAAGAATCTTATGCTACAGTCGATAGAAATGCATACTGTGCTTATAAGATTCTCATCTAAGAAACTTATAAGATTCCTATAAAAATTTATACGATTCTTATAGTCAAAAACAATAAAAAAAAAAGAAAACTTTTTTTTTGTTGCCTAGAGGATGAGGGCAAAGTTTTGAATATTTTTTATAAGGCACTATAAGATTATAAGAATATTGTAAGAAAATTATAAAACTAAAACTCTTACCGAAATCTTATTCAATTCTTATAAGATTCTTACATTGCGAATTATAAGAATTACAGTATGCATTTCTCTCGACTGGAGCATATAAGATTTTCATAAGATTTCTATAAGATTCTTATCTGATTTCTGTACTTTCGGTCGCCTAGGGGCTTATCCACAAAATTGTTAATAACTCCATAGAACTGAGCTCTGCTAGCTGACTCGTCCTCCCACTTTTATCTTGTGGTTATTAAGACACATCAGAATTTACTTTGCACTTATTCAAACCATACAGCTTAAATGAGATGAAGAATTTTGACGCTAACATGTACCTCCTCTCCTTTTGATGTGCGAACATATTTGTTTTCTTGGTTTTCCGTTGTATTTTTCTAGATGGAGGACGATTTTCCTGGAAAAACAATTATTTTAGGAAATAAGGTAAATTCATTAACCAGCTACACTTCTTTCTTTATCCATCATGTATATCATTTTTTAGACATATAAATTGGATGAACTAAGTCCCGAGGAACGTTTTCGGTATGTGTTTCTACTTGTTCTATTTTTCATTTTATTTATATGTGTGCTTAGTTCTTTTGAAGTGTTAAACATGAAGTATTACATGAAAAGCACAAAGGACATGAAGCAATGCATTTGGAAATGGTGTTGGTACTCCTTGTTTCTTTGGTTCTTTGTCAATTTATTTTGTTATTTTGGCGTAACACACACATCAAGTCGTACCAAGTAAGAAAGAAACAACTTCTATTCTTGTTTTACATAAAATTGTTGCTTACTATTAGTTCTTTACTCTCCTTGGCATGTGGATTATTCCGCTTTGTTTATCAGTGAAATTTTATTATTTTCGCTTTGTTATTATATGGTGCTTTTTCACAGTCGTATCAGCGTATGTCACAAGAAGGGCAACGAGACAACCAATTGAACCAAACACACCTAGGTATGAACGCTTTCCTTACATTTCTGGCTGTTTGCCTGTTTAAATATACCGATTAATGATTTGTATTTAGACTAGTATACAAATGGTTTTTGTTAGTATATAAATGTAGTTACGGACTGGCTATTGGTGGTTATTTTCTTGTAATGATGACATTTCTTGGAATAACAAATTTATTTTTAATACAACCTCAGGTAGATTAAAAAAACACAAATAAGCATCACCTTCTTATTGTAATTATTATCATAAATTTATTAGTTTTAATCATTGTTTTATTTCTTCGTTCTCAGACGACATTAGATATTGGAATATTAATCATGTTTTATGGTATTTATTATGGTGTTCTGGGACGAGATATGGCTGAATCATGTGCAGATCGTATGGCATCTAAAATTGGGGTAAGGATTACTAGTAATTGAATATTAGAGCATAATATCACTTGATACTAATGTTAGTACGGACTTTCACAATGAAACTTTTCTTTCTTTTTAGTATTACTCTGAAACAGGTTTACCAAAACGATCGTTAGAATCAAACACATGTGCTGTGTGTGCCAATCCAATATTGGTCCAAAATAATGATGAAGCAATTATCGAAAGAACCTATAAACTACAATGTGGACATACGTATCCTTTTACGCGTTTCATAAAACATGTTTTTCTTCGTGCATAGACGAATTTATTTTTCTTAGTTAATTAAAATTTTTAGATTTCACGAATTTTGTATTCGGGGATGGTGTATCGTCGGAAAGAAACAAACATGTCCATATTGTAAAGAAAAAGTTGATTTAAAACGATTATTTCCAAATCCGTGGGAAAAACCTCATGTACTTTATGGAAATCTTCTGGATTGGGTGCGCTATCTGGTTGCATGGCAACCGCTTATTCTTTTAGTTGTCCAAGGTGTTAATTATGTATTGGGATTGGAATGAACGAACACTTTGATGGTTTTGTTTCCATTGCTGATTATATTGAGAGATAGTAAAATGTATGTTTTTCGGAAAACCTAGTCAAATAGGCCCAAAAAAATGTGGTATAGTAATGAATTATCTGCTTCTTTTTCGTATGAACATCTTTATGTCTTAGAAACGTTCTAACATATGCCATCGATCTTAAGCATTGAAAGGTTTATATTAGCGTGCTGAGCTAAAATTTAGCTTTCCAGAGATGAGAAGCGAAGCATACACACATAAAGTTATGGACAGGCAACTAAAACTGCTTAGGAAACATTTTGGCAGTTCATTAGCTAATATCTGCTCAAGCATTTCAGTAGGTAAAAGTACAATGCTTACTTTGTTTTTCTATATACTTCTTTGATTAGGTAATTTTTGCGATTCATCTATTTTCTTTTCGTTGTTTCTTTCTTTCTGTGGTGGTGATGTTTGTTTTTAAAAAAATTATTTTTTATACTTAGAACATGATGATCCTTGTTTCTTCTTATGCATTCAACAGCTAGAAATCAAGATATCCCGTTGTACGTTTTAAAAGAGTGAACTACGTCTTCGATGATTTAGAGAGTTTTTCATGCCGGTTTATCATAAAACTATCAATTCTCTCTCGATTCTCGATGTATTTTTTGTTGTTTTAGTTTGAATCATCGTTGTCATTTTTTTTTTATTTATTACACAATTAGATCTTACTGTTATTTTTCTTGTTTACTTCAAAATAGACAAAAAAATAAACGTGTTCTTCGTATAATATTTAATTTATTTTGGATATGCAAATGCGAACTAGCATTTTTTTGAAACATTGTGATTTCACCTACTTTCGATTTATTAGTGAAAGTTTTTACGTTAGCTTGAAACGTTCTAACTTATCGGCGCTTTTGCGTCATCAAACACCTATTTATATGGTCTGGCTTTGTATCGCTTCATTTTTTATAAGATAATCACATAGTCGATCAATGTCATCAAATATCAAAGATCAGCTTTTGAATGGTGGCTGGTAATATCTCTTTTTTTATAACATGATTTATTCTTGGCATAAATTGTATTTATTCTAATAGGTCCATCAAATCAGATATTCTTACATCTATAATGAACGATACACAACACCTTGGAAATATTAAGAAAAAGTTACTCGATGTGAGTAGTCAAGATGATAGCACTAGCCGTATCTCATAATAATATATTTTAGAGTGATTTAAGACAATGTGGCGAGCGTTGTCTACCAGAACTGGCTAAATTAGATCAAGTATGATTTCGTTTTTAGAATAAATACTCTAGTGTTATTCATGTTCTTTCACTTATTTCAGACTACAAAAAATTACGTTACACAAGTTCATAAAATACGAAATGTTTGTGCACCAAAAGATAATGAATCATCAACTCATTTACCGCATATGTATCGTTTAATAATAACAGATGGACATGCATATCAAAATGCTCTTGTTCTACCAACTCTAAAAAATTTTAGGTAGGAAACCAAATAAAAACTGTGTATAAAGTCTATGACTACAGTTTACTATTGGATGAGATAAGGTGGTACATGTTCGCTAAGTGGATTATTTGAAAAATATGGGAACTTCAGATATAGCAAAAAATAAGACATATTTAATCTCACAATTGAGTATTTCAGCAAATAAGTAAATCCTGACTGAATAAGTAAATATCCTGGCTTTTTGTTTGTTCCAAACTTCTTTACTATACATATATGTCTCCTGATTAGCAATAAGCATATGTGTATATTACTTTTAATAGAATAAAGAATCTGCTATTGATGATTGATCTAACTTGTGTTTTTATATACTTGATGTTTGTGTAATGAATAAATGTTTTTATTATTATTTCTTCTTTACCTAGTTTAGACACACCACCTGGAACAAAACTCTTGTTAAAACCACAAACAAAATTATTACATGGATTTTATATCTTGAACGATAAGACCTGTGAAGTGTTAGGCGGTACTGTTTTAGATTTAGTTCAAAAATGGCATTTAAGCAAAGTAAGAATCTATTTCTTTTTTAAAATTAATGAAAATTTTTAGTGTGTACGTTTTTTATTTTAGATAATGCCCCATCATGTTCGGCAGATGATAGGAGACGGGGCACCACCACCTTGGGTACCATTTGGCGTTAAACAATCTATTACAGGTGAGGTATTAGATTTGTTAACTTTTGTATATAGTTTCTTTTATATACAGAAATTTTTAAGTGGATACTACTCAAAAATCGATGGATGTTGCAAAAGTACAACCCAATGTTGAGGATCCAGAATTTGTTAAAATTCGACGTGCTGCGATTGATAATATAATTAATGAAAGCATGACGAAAACTGAACGTTTTGCTAATCAAGTATGCTTTCAATATTTTAGTATTTAAAACTGACATCGTTTTTTCTAGGATGTTTCTAAGGGAAAAAATATAGGAAAATGTTTCGATCAATCATTTCAACGTTTAGATAAACCAATATCTTCAACAAATGCAAGAACTGATAGAACACAGACACCGTCATCATCGTCCCAGACAACAACAACTACATCCCGTAGTAGACGTATGCGTCTTACGCTCGATATTTACTCTGATTCATATCGAAGCTGACAAAAAATTTCTTTCAGTTCCAGATTGGGCTAAAGATCAATTAGAAGAAAATCGGCGTTATGAAGATGATGAAAAAGAGCCGAGTAATAATGTTACATTATTTGATTTTCTTGCATCTAAAACAAAAAATTTATCGGTTTGTAAGTATTGACAAATTGATATTCGTATAGTTTTACTGATTTATGTATATTCACCTTAAGCTGGATCACAAAAATCAACAGTAACGAGACCGAGTACATCTCATGGGCAGCAAAGAATGCAAACGAAAACAAGTCAAGTAGAATCACCACCTGCAGGGTATGATCATTCGTATGATTTATCAATTACCTCATTGTTGATATAAAAAACTTTGAGGCTGTTGAAGAATATTGATAAATAATAACTTTGAATAAACTGTTTGCTGATTTATTTTCTCAAGTAAGCCAATTACGTTTGTTCAACAGAAAACAAATCAACAACAAAAAGTGTCAGTACCAACGCCTAGTCAATCTCGTATGTCGAGTGCTGTACAGGTAAAAAAATATTCGTCTAACTCTGTTATTCTCATCTTATTTTAAATTCATTTTAGAAACAATCATTTCCATATGATAATGGTGATTGTGTATATGCTCGTTTTCATGAAGATAATGAAGTAAGTCAATCTTATTAGAGAACATAACCGGTAGATGAACTTTTGTTAATTTAGTATTATCCGGCTATCATTATGAATATCATTCATAATAATCAAAAATGTTCAGTGATGTTTGAAGGTTATGATACACAAGAAATCGTTGGCTTTGATGATATCGAACCATACGCCGTATGTACAGTGTCGCCACTTATTTGAATTCAAGTTTAAATATTACTAAAAATTCTTTTAGGAAGAAGACGAGCAATATGAAGATGAATCTTACACTCAGCAACAGCAACAACCACAACATTATGGATATCAGCCAGCTGTCGCTGCTGGATTTGCTAATTCATATTATCAACAGCAACAACAACAAACTTATCAACAGCCGCAACAGCAAACTTATCAACAGCAGCAACAGCAAACTTATCAACAGCCGCAACAGCAAACTTATCAACAGCAGCAACAGCAAACTTATCAACAGCAGCAACAGCAAACTTATGGACAAGATCAGAGAAATTACAATAGTGGTGACAATAGAAGCGGACCTGGCGGTTCGAACATGAATCGTCAATCTTATAATAATCGATCATACCAACAGCAAAACAGATATGATAATAGTTACTATTGAAAGACAGGATTGTTACCAATATCTTTTTATTATCTGGTTTTCTATGCTATAAACTGTGAAAAAAGCAATTTATTGTTTTGTTAAGTTTTAAAAAATAAAAATTAAATTGATAAATTCGCGGTATTTTAGGCTGAGTATGTTAAGACAAACGTATTTATGTACTTTAAAGAAAACGTTTAAATGATTTTATTCAGAAATTTAAGTAGTAAACATATAGAGTATGTTTCTTCCTGTCTAGTATCCAGCTCTTCTTTATTAATTATTGATTACCATGCGTTTTTATTTTGTTTATTCTCCTAGGAAACTTTGTACAAACATGACAAACTATGATGATTTGCCTTCCATCAAACTCATTAATCCACAAGAATACATAATCAAGTTAGAGAGTGACGAAACTAAGTAAACGTATTTCATACATGAGTTACGCAAATTTACTTTACTTTATTTTTAATCTTATTTTTTAGATCCATTGAGTTAGAAATAACAAATATTCTTATTCAACTTATCGAACAAAATGGATTTGATGGTATCTTTGCTGTTTTATTGATATTTTCTTTCTTTTGATATTTTCTCATTAGACCAAGTTTGTTTTTGTTTAGATTATAATTTAAAATGTATCACTCTTCTTCGAACACTAATGGAAGATTATTTTAAAGATTTTTTGTTACGATTTAAGCAACGTGCTGAATGTTGTGGTAGTGAACTAACTGTACAGGTAAACAGCTCATTTCAATGTATGATAAAACGATGAAAGGAGTATTTCTCTATTTTTTAATTATAGGATTCATTTGAAAAAACATTGAAAGAAATTCTTTTCATTGATTTAAAAACTTTTTATCGTTATATGAAAATTAGTGCAACAATAATCAACAACAAATAATCATTTTTTTTCTTATAACTCCAAATAATAAATCTTATTTATCTTAATTTTCCTATTCCTTGTCTATTATTGAAAACTAAAAATAAACTATTTATTTATACTTCTAAACTTTCTATTGCTATCGCGACCAACGTTCACAAACTACTGTTTCGATTCTTCCCACTACGATTCTTTTCCACTACTCTTTTTTAAAGAAATTTCTAAAATCTAAAAACTAATTTTCAATAAGATCTATTTGAAAAATATCACTTTTTTTGACTAACAACATGTTCCATCTTTTGCGGTGAAATATCAATAAAAAAGATGGAACACGACATAAAAACAAATATGAAAACAAGAACAAAAGAAAGAATTAAACTCGACTGGAAATAAATTATACGTTGATTTTTATCGTTTGCCGTCACGTATACGCACGTCATGGTATTTTGTTCTCTATATCTTTATATGGGAACATTTTCATGCTTTTTCGATATTATAAGAAGAAAGTAGTGAAGTGTTTACTGAGAGATATTCACTGAGACACTATAACAATAAAGAAAGCAATCGTAACCGATAACATTCCGAAGCGATTGTCGTAGCACTTGCCTAATGAACTACATGGTAAGCTCAGAGTTTTAGATGTATAAATAATTTTTGTATCACTGAAGCGTTAAAAATCAACGTACAAGAAGAACAAGGCTCACACTTACGTGCACAAAATAAAAGACAACGGATAAAACTTAAAATTGACATATTAACAGAAATATTATTACGAAAAAACTTATTATCTTTGAAATAAAAAATACGTGAGGGAAGGTTGAAGTTACGCTTTTTTTTCGCTCTTCTCTAGAGTTGAGCAGATCATGTGACTGATTTGTGAATATTTGTTAGATTCATCGACCCTGATTTCATACCCTCCAGAAGAAAAGAACATCATGATTATTTTACCCTGGCAACGACACTAAACATCAACTCACTCGAACATGTCACGTGATAAATACACAATCATCACCAAGGTCACTAGCAACTCCGAAGGTGATATTGAAAATCTCAGCTTTTTTTTGTATAACTATCACTGAAGATGTGAAGTCATCTAAATTTGGATTGCAATTCTATTATATTAACTAATCATAAGTAATGTTTTTTACCTTGTTCCCTATTCTTCTTCTTGTTATTATTACTTCTAGTAAGAATCTTGATGACGTACTTTCACACGGCTCCACTCACGCTATACACGATTTTGAAACTGTCATACTTGGTTTTATGAATTGTGTATCAAAAACTCCTGTTGTTTGCTAGAAAAGTCGTACGGAATATGTGCACTTGCAGTTTACAATATGCGAAATCGCCGTTTTGGCGTTCCGCGATCCTAAATTATATATTTACCATAAATCTGAAAGTATTGTTTTACTGCTATTCGGAAAAGCTTTCAAGATTTATATTTGTTAATCTATCTCTCTATTGAGTCAAAAATTGAATTTTGCGAAGTTTCATTCAACTAATTTCATTTATACTCAAACTGAAGCGATTTCGATGATTAGTGTGGGGACTGACGGATTGTTGTACGATTAAAAAATGCAATCATTAGCGGATGCATATATGTTAGGTAAAATGAAATTCATTGGGTGAGTCTATTAAATTAAATAAAGTTTTTAATTAGAAAAGTTTTGGCGTTTTTTGTTTTTTCTTGAAAGCAGCAGTT